GCGACCTTTCGGTGTAGATGCTAACACCGTTATCAAGCAAGTGATCAACACCGAAATGTCACATCCATTGCAATAAACAAGTTGTATATCCTTAACAGATTTGTTCCTGTTCATCATGACAGCTTCTAAATGCCACTCAAAGAAGTTATTTATCCTAGTTCAGCGTTCTCATTGGTTGTATGGTTCCACATGTATCGGGGAGGTGGGGTAGTCTAGTGGTTAAAGCGTTGGCTCGTAACGCCGAAGACCCGGGTTCGAATCCCCACATGGGTACAATGAGTGAAGCCCATTTCTGGTGTCCCCCGCCGTGATATTGCTGGGATATTGCTAAAAGTGGCGTAAAACCAAACTCAGTCAGTCAGTCAGTCCACATGTATCTTATGGATAGCTAGCAGTACGGTATGACAACATGGGCCATGACTTGGTAGCTTTTACCTTCTCTACATTATATTGCAACTCGTATACTCGTATACCACAAAATGAAAGCAGTTAAATGATGAACACAGACACAACAATATGACAATTCAGAATAATACAATATTATATAAAACGCTGACACAACTATAAGGCAAAAAACATACAACTTCTCTGTAAAGTTCAACCTACAGATTATGTGTTACTATTCCCTAAACCAGTGTTCTTTAGACTTTACTGGTACACTTGGTACACCAAGCCTCACATTAGTTGAAGCACCCATCATTTTGTTTGATCTGATCAATGATGGAACCTTGATCCTAATTTTTTTTGTAACTGAAGTGTGATTGAATTGTTCATTTGTTTACAAGAGTATGTTAGCTATTTTAGGATGGTTTGGTTCCAAAGCAAATGAAGAGAGTAAGAATTCCATGAATTCCTCATCAGGACAATCAATACACCGGCTAGATACTGATTGCATCTGATTGGGGACCGATTCTGGTGCCGTGTTACTATTGATGCTGATGTTGTGCGATGGGATGTAGAGGTGTTTGTTCTTGCTGGGACGGGGACTATCCCAATTCCCCTTGTTTTCGATCTTGTCTTCCGACGAGACAACACGCCTCATGGTAGATCTGTCCTGGATCTGAACACATGTACCAATATTGGATCTGGTAAGAAATCGTTTGATGCCATGTTTGTAGTCTGGATCAAATCAAAGTTCACCTACATTAACTTAATTAGGATGATCCACAATCTTGCAAGATTGAATTGCAATAGGTTGATCTAGAGATGTCTTGAAAGGCAGTTGATGGAAATCACTTTGATTGACTACATTGTTGCCTTTCACAGACATGACTTGCAGGACACTGGTTCCGATTTCATGAAGCCGTCTTCTTGCAGGAACTGTTGTAGCTCACAGTCTTTATATAAACTTACAATAGAGCAAACTTACCGACACCTTTTAGCCCCTGCCCTTGAAATAGAATTGAGATAGTCAGAGCAATCTTAGCTACAAATGTTTTAGCTCCTGCTTTTAACATAGACATGTGATAGTCAGAGCAATCGTAGCTACAAATGTTTTAGCTCCTGCTTTTAACATAGACATGTGATAGTCAGAGCAATCGTAGCTACAAATGTTTTAGCTCCTGCTTTTAACATAGACATGTGATAGTCAGAGCAATCTCAGCATTACAACTTATGATGGCAGTTCCTTTATTATCACTTTGTGGAATGGATGTGTCAGCTAATGACTTCTCCCTGCAATCAAGTAATGACTTCGCCCTCCAATAAACTAATCTCCAATCACCCTAAGCTGATTCAAAGTCCAATCTGCAGTTTATCAAGAAGAATCAAGGTCCATTTTTACAATTATCAGTCAACAAATGCTTTTAAAAGTACCCCAATAGTAACATGATGCAGTGTTCAGTAATACCAGTTAATGCCTTTATCAGGGAACAGTTGGGTGCCTTTGGTTCGGCTGATGATGGTATCGACACCTGTCGGGGCTGATTTATACTCATCTGGAACTAGATTGTTGCCACCCACATAAATTACCTGCTTATACTCCCAGGTGAGACAGGTCTAGGAGGATCAGGGTCAGGCCTACAGGGGCTACTCCCATCACATCTTTAGAGCACAGAAATAGACTTCAGTGAGGATGTAAGAAGGGCATTACTTGTCATCCTTCATCAGGTCATGGGGCACCTGTCTCATCAGCAGATGAGAGCTGTGAGATTCTGGTTAGTATGGAAATAATGATGCTTCTCAACGGAAACCATAACATTCATTCATTCTTTTATTCATTCATTCATTCATTCATTCATTCATTCATTCATTCATTCATTCATTCATTCATTCATTCATTCATTCATTCATTCATTCATTTATTTATTTATTTATTTTGTGGCCTCTGTACCGTACTTTTGATAGGGATGCTAATATATATTTCAGATTGTTTCACAACAAAGAACAGCTTACGGGAATGTTGTCTTATTATTTTCTTACTAGTGTTGTTGGAGTGATTGAGTGAGATTACATTTGTATCTTGCCTTCCCACAGCGATCAGTTACATTCAACAACAACAAACACACACCGCCCCTCACTCACTCACTCAGTCTCTTCTTTAGCAGAAACCCTAGTGTATACAATGGCGTTACAGTAGGTAGATAGGCCAGTTACAGCTCATGCAGGTAGAACAGGCAGATTATCACATACATTTGTTATCAGCTCTATCTGCTGCACACTGAAGTGCAGTATGCTAGTGGGTGTGATTCTCAACATGATAGGCTTCCAAACAAATGTTTCCTAGTAGAGCAGTTATAACTTCCACAATGTTTTTAATACAGTTGGAGAACCTAGTTACTGAGATATTTATAATAAAGTGCTTGCACCTTGTCCCTTGTATCTTCCTGCTGTAATTTATAGGATGCCATCTTAAAGCTGGAAATTTGCTGAGTGTGGCAAACAAACAAATCTTCCTGCAGCCTTTCAGTGTAGTCAAGGAGCAATTGGGTAGCCTAGTGGTTATAAAGTGTTTGCTGGCCACAGCTAAGGCCTGGGTTCGACTCCCTCAATGGGAACAATGTAAGAAACCCATTCTGGCATCCCCTGCCGTGATATTGCAGGAATATTGCTAAAAGTGCCATAAAACCATACTCACTCACTCACTGTAGTCAAGGAGGAGTGAGCTAGCCTAGTGGTTAAAGTGTTTGCTTGTCACACCTAACACCTGGGTTTGACTCCCCAAATTGGTACAATGGGTACAATTTTCATGTCCCCCTCACCATGATATTGCCATAAGATTGCTGCTAAAAGTGATTTTAAATTACACTTGCTCAGTAGAATCCAAGTGTGTCTGTTGTTATTGATGTCCGACTGTGCAGACAAATACACAACTGATGAAACATGCAAGATATCAGTTTACCTATTTCCTGTCAACAAATGTAGTTTGTGAGGAAACAGTTGCTCCATTGTAAGAAACATTAACTTAATTGCACTGCATATCTTTGTGACATTCAAATCTGTAACTGTAGACATACAATAAAATATCAGCTGAGCTTGCTCCGACTTGTCCTACTTCTGCTGGACTGTGGACGTTTTGTTATTGCAAGCTGTTTCCATTAATAAATTCCTGGTGCATTCCATGTTTCATGACATACACTGGAAACAGGCTGTTAGAATTCATGGAACTGTTTTGCGATTGCAGTAGAAGTGGATTTTATACTTTTTCCTTTCAGTTTGAGTGAGTGAGGTATAAGGTAATAGGAGTATTGCAGGATTGTGAGGACGTGTTGTGTTTATAGATAAGATAAGATAAGATATAGATAAGATATGTATTGCATAGCCTTCCATGAAGAAACAGTGGCAATATTCTATAAACTACAAATATAAACACAGCAGGTACAAGAAATATAGATACATTTCACACCTAAATGATGTACATTATAACATTTTTTTAGAAATCATGTGGTATAATGACATGGAAATTCATGGAAATACAGAATTCATTTAAAGTTGTAAATATGATGACATATTTTGGGAATTGTTTCAGGACTTCTGTTTGTGAAAATTATTAGGAATTGTTCATTTTTAGAGAGTGTAGTAAATTCTTGGTCATAGCAAAGCATTGTTTGTAGAAGTGATTCCCTTTCTTTGCTATACTTGGTACATGATATTATATGGTGTTGCTCATTGTCTAAGACATTGCATATTTCACAGAGTCATTCTAGTGGGGTTGCAGGTTTTGTATGTATATCTTCCAGTTTCAATTTTGAGTTTGTGATTACTTAACCATACTTTTGAAACTAGTTAACTTATTTTTGATATGTGTGAGATGAGATTTTCAGTGAGTGCATTCTGTTTATTGTCACTGATGGAGTATGGGCCAGAGAATCTTGTCTACAATTCTAGCTGTTGGGTGGGGGGATGGTGGGTAGCTTAGTGGTTCATGCATTTGCCTGTCGTGCTGAAGACCCGGGATGGATAGCCCAGTTCTAGTGTTCCCCACTGTAATATTGCCGAAAGCGGCGTAAACCATACTCGCTCATTCCTGCTGTTTGGTAATGTCAGTAATTGTCACTTCAGTCAGATATTGTTATAAGATTATTTTTAAAAAGAGGGGATTTGAATTATTTATGCCTGAAGAAAAAAGAACAGTTCCAAGTTGATGCAATTTCCTGAAAATCGATAATGTTGCAGTTAATAAATACAATTTGTACTTTGTAAACAAATGTAGCATGTTTTCTCTTTAATATTTCGATTCAGTAATCTTAATGTATATGTCTCAAAAGAAGCTAAGGATAACCCTTAATATTATGTAATTAATCTTTCATATTATGAAATGATGAATTGGGTGGTCCTTAACTTGTTTTGAGTGGTATATGAAGAAACAAGGAACATTGTTGATGTTATTCAGTGCACTAGGAAAGATGTTTATCAGGAGGTGGGAAGGATGTACAGCAGTTATACACTGACGTGAGACTACTCTCATTGGACAGACAGTAGGGGATATACAGCTGTAAACACCAGGAAGAACGTTGCCCAGGAGGGTTGTCCAGTGGCGACTGTTTCCTGACTCGGTCATCCTGCTACCATTGACAGCATTATTTGTAAACAACCAGGAGCTACAATGTTGTGTAGGCGCTCTAATTGATCAGGATTGGTGTGACCGACTGAGATGTGTATCTGTGAAAACTTGTCTTGCATATGCAGTCAAATGTGATTGATTTGGATATGCAGTGAGGATTGCATTGGATAAGGAGGAATATAGAATCATCTTGGATGTGCAACTGTAATGACTTGCCTTGGATAAACAGGTGTGTAAAATTGGCTCAGACAAGCAGATATATGAAATTGGTTTGTATACCCTTTGGAATAAAATTGACTTGAATATGCAGCTGTATAAAATGGCTCAGATGTGCAGTGACTTGGATATGCAGCTGTTCTGAATTATCTTGGTTACGCATCACCACAACTGGCTTGGATATGCAGAGTAAGTGTATAAGTCATTGAGCGACATTTAGAAGTGATGCACGTAAAGGCAATAACTTTAATTTCAAATTCTTTATTTTGAGGAAGACGATGTTTCAGAGTATATTCTCACTCCTTCATCTTGCCTTTGAGTATTTAAGGTTTGTTCTGTTCTCTCATAACTTTAAACAAAATGTTTTATTAGATTTGATAGTTTTCTATTCTTTTAGCTCAAGGTCATAATGAAGTGATAAGGATGGAAACATTCCCACACCTTACTATTTATTGCTCCCCTTCACCGGCAGTCTGTTGATAGAATTAGGTCTTTATAACTAACTTGAGAGGAGCTCCACATGGGGATCTACCAACCACAGTTAAGGAGGTTGACAGACGGTGAGATGATGGAGAAAATTAACATGTGCAGTTAATTATTAATCTACTTTCAATGCGTGTAAGTTATAAATGTGTACTTTCAATTTAAAATGATTACATTTCAAGTATAAGGATATGACGATGTGCTAACTTGTGTACTGGGTGTTGCGTGTTGGGTTTGATTGGGGAAATAGGTATGTTTAGTTAATTATTAATTTATGGCAGTATACAGAAGTTATATAGCAGGAAGTTTCAAAGTCATTACTATTCCAGAGATATTAGTAGTATGACTGATGCAGGTGATCATGAGAGGTGATATATTATGGGAAGTATGGTACTTCAAATGTACTAAATGGCACCATAAGTTTGTTGTGTACATGTTTCTATGAGAGTCAATAATTTTGTGAAGTACTGTACTGAATGACACTTTCAGTTTATCTTATACCGATTTTCATGATAATTTGGGATGTATTTTGTACTTCAAATTCGCTAAATGTTACCATGAGTAAGTTCATACAGGTTTCCATGAGATCTGAAATTTGGGATGAACATTACTTAAGATTCTTTAAATGGTAACATTTTGTTTTCATTTGCTTATTACCAAGTGTGGTGTTAATGGGGGATGTACGGTACCACTGATACACCAATGAGTTTTAGTTATGCAGATAACCATGGGAGTTGTGAATGTGGAATGTACGGTACCTGACTATATATGCACCAAATGACCCCAGGAGAAAGTCTATCATGACTTGTCCCCTACCCATAGATCAACACATTGATGTAAACTGACACTGCCCCATGTGATAGCACTTTCACACTCCCATTCATATATAACCTACAGGTGCAACAGCACCTCATTGGCTGGTCTCCAGATCGCAGGAAGCTGATTGGCTGGTTTCACAAATACCACCATATGATTGGTCACAGTGTCAGATCTGGTACTAATTAGTCTTTGATGTGTCTTCCATGCAAGTAATGAACATTGACAGTCAGAGTGCAAGTACATTACAGTCATTAGTAGGTGCTGATGGGTGAGTGCTCATGTTACCTCCAGCCTGATGCCATGCTGGGTAGCCTCGCTCCAAGGCTGTTCTGGATAAAGTACATGGGCGTGTAGTAGATCTATCTTATAATGGGCAAGTCTACATAAGAAGACAGTACTGGGATGACAGTCTTTGATAGGGAAATCTTGTTATTATTGTTTATATAATCTACAATTCTTTTATTTTAACCTATATTTAAAGACTCGTGCTAGTCTACATATGAGTTGTTTTATCTGATACAGACAATCAGTAGTTTGTCTCGGCCCCTGAACAGGGCATGGATGTTTAGTAGTTCTATCTTATAATGGGTAGCGGTAAGTCTACATAAGCGGGGACATGCCAGTCTTTTATAGGGACATCTAGTTATTATTATCCCCTGCCTCGCGTTTAGCGAAAGCGGGGGATATAGTATTAGGCTCCTTCCGTCAGTACGAATTGGAATATCTTAAGAATCGTTGACTAGATTCTTTTCATATTTGGTACCTAGCTTCATCACAGTATAAGAAAGGTCCAAGTCAGGTTTGGTGACCTTGTTTATATAATATATGATTTCTTTTATTTAGACTTATATTTATTGCTTTAAAGACTTGTGGAAGCCTACATGAGGTTGTTTTGTCTGCTACAGCCAGTACTCAGTCTCACAGTCCCTGAACCATATTATTTTCCCTTCGATCCAACACTGAGTGAAATGCCAATGGTTTACAAGCAAGTCCACATTTCCTCAGATTCAGGGGGCTCTTTTTCAGTTTAAATGCAGTCTTTGCTTTTGTCAGAGTTGTATATTTTCAGAGACGATCAGTTCTACTTTTAGAAGATATTTCATAGGCACATGGAAAGGGTTTTGTATCTTTTATTTCCAGAATTTGAGTAATGAAATAGTCATCCCTATTCCTTTCCCATCGCTTCCTCAGCTGTAGCAGCTTTCTCTCCTCCCCGTTTCCGAGAGTTCCCTCATTATTTGATTAACCTTATCCATGCTTGTATTTTAGGGTCTGTGTGTCAGAAGGTACTTGAAAAAATAATGCATTTCTTATCATATTTCTGATTTCAAGAAGCAGATGACTGTTTTTAAAAAAACAAAATATAGCTAGGTCATCAGTACCTCATGTAGGTCTCTGTGGGTTCTACAGGGTGTCAGGTGTGATAAGGGAGACAGTTGTTTTCAAGCCCAAGGGTTTACAGTTTTGGTTTGGGGGATCCAAGGGACGTTCCAGGCTCATGGACTTAGTTGATGCACTTCACTGTATCCAAATGTGTAGACTGCTGGTCTTGATGCTCTTGAGGTCAATCACTGGATTGTCTGAACCCAAACCGATCATTCACAAGAAGGGCTAGAGCATTTTTGAGTGTGTGTTTGACAAACAGTTAAAAAAATACAGATCTCTAAATATTATACACTAAAAAAAAGACTGACCACACTAAACACTGAACTCTACATTGCTACACATTCATGTCAGTTTGAACCTTGAGTATTCCGAATTAGGATATAAATATTTAATCGCTATTATTTGTTTGCTGCCTGAATGGTGTACAGCTCTGACTCACGGATTGCTAGTAATGTCCGTGTACGCTCTCATCCAGAAAATTGACACCTATTCACCCTGTTATGAAGCTACAACTGACTACAGCCATAAAACTTTGTCGGTACAATGTAAACTGACCCTAGCAATAAATGGCTGACCCATGAAAGTGACCACAAGCACGCACGAGTGGTTGACTATACAAACTTAGCAACCACTACTGCATTTACCGCATATTAATGTCGTTTATGGTGCTTTTATGTGAACCCTTCCATGGACATTATTCATGGAAATATGAAACTAATCTGTTGGCTGTTTAGCAGGTAATATATATGCATCCTCCCACCTGTTCTCTGTGACACTTACAGTTTGTGGTTACAGATCTTGTAAAACCTATGATTTTCATCTGAGTCCTCAAACATTTTTGATCATCAGCATTGGAGGGAGAGCGATATATTTATTGATAGGTATAAAATCAACTTATGGAGATCATGACCTGACCGATTTGAAATATACTGGTTTGTAATCAACTTTGTTCAATGGTGGCTGTAGAGGTTCTACTTGACCTTGAGCTTTAGGGGACGCTTCTTTTGAGGGAGGGAGTGAGGTATTTAGCTATATCACACATAACTATAATAATATTCAAGCTATATGGCGACAGTCTGTAAATAATCTAGTCTGGACCAGACAATCCAGTGATCAACATTGTGAGCATGAATCTACTGCAACTTGGATATGATGACATTTGTCAACCAAGTCACAAGTCTGATCACTCAATGCTGTTTGTCGCCTCTTACCACAAGCATGGATTGCTGAAGGCCAATTGTAGCTTGGATCTTCATTGATTTCAACTTACTGTTGGAGGGCAATCCATTGAAAAACATGTAGAACTAGTAGATTGACAAAGGATCATGATCATACAGAATTTGAAACCACCATCACCAAGTCCTGACATGTAAAAGGGACCCAACTCTGCACTGTAATTATCTGCCCCTGACAGCAGGGTCACCCATGCCCTCAGGATGCAGTTGAAGGTCATGCATTCCTATTGAGTCACTCAAGGATATTTAGCTTTGATGTATCAAAGATACATCTTCTTTGGTAAATAACTAATTCATGGATTCCTTTAGATCTGTTGATAAAGGAAAGCCATTTGCACAAATATGTTTTTCATCATGGCCATTAATTCTAAGTCTGATTGAGGTCACTTTAGTCATTTTTCAGAAGAAATCAATGTACATTGTGGGCAAGAATCGTGATACATCGCTGGTTTAGTGTGAGTAAAGATGGCAATTAGTACATTACCTCCGCCAGATCTAGAAACGATTAATCTGATGGGATAGGGTCTGGTGGCCAGACGTCTTGTACCAATATTTGTAAGTGTATTACTGTTAGTAAAGTAGGGGCCGTGTTGTTGTCAAGGTGAAATCCATAACACAGTTAACTCCCTTAGTTGTGCCAGTATCTGCTGATTCAAATTCCAGATTCACCACAATAATATCATTGGTTTTTAAGAGATGACCAACAGAATCAGGTGATTAGACTTGTGAAGTTTTTTTGTGCACATTTATGGATTCCAGTTGTGTTGATCTATACATACTATTATTACAGACCACCATCATATAGCTGGAATATTGCCGAGTACAGCACTTCACAGCAAACAAACATGTGTTAATTCCATCTTATATAGATAGCTGATACTTTATGGCGGATTAGGGATGGCAAGTCTGTTCCCTCAGAGGGTTTGCAGTGTGGTGAGGAAATGTTTTGTATGTCAGATTTGACACAGACTGCCAGCATAGCCTGTCATGGCCCATCCTTGTGCACAAGACTGATTTCTGAGTCTATACAGTTTGTATTGTATCTATTCCAGCAATCTTTGCGCAGAGGGGTAGCCCTGTGGTTAAAGCGTTCGCTCATCATGCTGAAGAACCCAGGTTCAATTCTCCAAATGAAAACAAAGTGTGAAGCCCACATCTTGCTGAAAGCCATGTAAAACTCAACTCACTCACTCACGCACCTTGCACTAGGCTGTCATAGCAACTTTAACAAAGACAGAAGCAGCTTCGATATCAAAAGATGGCATC